TTTTGTAGATATATCCTACACCTGGTGAAATAAATCATATTGTTTTACACCATTGATCTACACATAATAACACTTATTCATGTGTATGCATGCTTAGTCGATAGTTATTTATACAGGTCTACCGTTTAAAATGTATTTTACCATGTGTAGGATTTCATAAGCCCACCCTTAACTAGTATTGCGTCTAGTCCCACACTTAATTGGATTCTTTTACACTACATAATAATTTCATTATTTATTTAATTGGCCAATTTAAAATTTTATATCATATACACTATAATGAAAAATAGAATACCCTTGGCCGATGCGTATGGTGGAAAGTTAGGAAGATTATGGGTCGGGTTCGCCCGGTAGACGGTGAAGCTCAAGCCGTTCTTCAAGCCCTTACCACCGCTCGTTCGTCGAATTGGAATTCAATTCTACTGGAAGGCTATTGCTTGCAAGAAATGGAAGGCCGTTGGAGCTATTTTGGAAGAATATCTGTCTTTATCTTGTGATATGATCCTAACTAACTCCAACTCGAAGAATTGGAAAAAAGGAAGAGGGAAATTCGTTGGACAAGTCGAATTTCATGCATCCCGAAAATCTCGTATAATTCTGGCAGAGTACACCATTCGGCTTATTACATTCTCATCTGAAGTCCCATTAAGGTGATTCGAATTGCTACGGAAGGCCAACTTAAAGATCTAAAACTTTTATGTTTTGATCCGAGAGAGATTTGGTGTGGAAGAGGTCAGAAATCTAGCTTGAAGTTAACACACGTGCACAGCCAAGTGTCTACTCGAGTTATGAAGAGTGTTCGTGTGGTCAACTTGATGTTTGGAGTTTGTATTTTATTAAATTACGTTTTTATATTAGGATTTAATATATTTCTATTTTTTAGAGTTATTTATGGCTATGATTTTTTATTTAATAGTTTCCTTATTATAGTTTAGGTAATAGTTATTTTCCTTGTGAAAAAGTGTCTTTTTAGCACTTATAAATAGGTTGCCAATTTGACTTATTTTAATGGACGAATTTTGATGATTAAATTGAGATTATGCTCTTTGGTTCTTTAAGAACTTTTCGAACATATCGGTGGATTCCGTTTGTTCACCCCGACTTATCAATCGAAATCCGCCCCAACTTATCAATTGATCTTTCACAATCGATTGTGGCGTCTTCACATACCAAGGTTCTTGCCTCCTTATAGGTAATGGGTCGCGGTTCCACCATTGAATCCTTCTTTGGACGGTCCAGGATTTGATATTCGAAGTATTGATATCAGGTCTCGTCACATGGTTGGCGTGGTTCGTATCATTTGGTATCAGAGCCATCTTCCTAAGAGGATTTCGCCTATCCTTAATCTTTATTGTTGAGTCAGTCTTCGTTTTCATGTCTTCGTTTTGTTTATCGTTTTTCGTTTTGCGTCTATTGTTGTTGAGTCTTCTAGTCTTTCGCTTTGTTTATTTAGAGTCTATAAACAAAAAAAAAAAAAAATTGATTTTTTTTTTGTTTGAAGTTTCTTAGAGTCTGAGTTAGGTTTTGTCTAGACTGCTTAAAAAAAATCGAAAAAAAAAGAACGAGTAAGTTTTGTTATTCATTAATCTCGTGAACTCTATTAAGTTTCTTTCTTGTGGCGTCAACATTATAACTTTGGTTCGTGGTTCTATATACCCATTGGGTCAAGTTGGTTGTTCCATACTTCCGGTTTGCGTTTCTATATAAACGTTAGGTCGGAGTGCTAACAAGGAAAATTTAATCTTGTTTATTGAATTGGGAATTTCATGATTAATTGTTCGTAGAAAAAAAGAGAGAGGTAGTTCCAAATACAGCGAAGAACTTTATGCCATATGGATTCGCTTTCAATACTACCCGCTCATTCCAAGAAATCGAATTTGAGGACGAATTCTTTTGAAGAGAGGGAGTATAATATGATCCTAACTAACTCCAACACGAAGAATTGGAAGACAATGAAGAGGGAAATTCGTTGGACAAGTCGAATTTCATGCATCCCGAAAGTCACGTATGATTATGGCAGAGTACACCATTCGGCTTATTACTCTCTCATCTGAAGTCTCATTAAGGTGATTCGAATTGTTAGGAAAAGCCAACTTAAAGATCTAAAACTTTTATGTTTTGATCCGAGAGAGATTTGGTGTGGAAGAGGTCAGAAATCTAGCTTGAAATTAACACACGTGCACAGCCAAGTGTCTACTCGATATGAAAAGTGTTCGTGTGGTCGACTTGATGTTTGGAGTTTGAATTTTATTAAATTACGTTTTTATATTAGAATTTTATATATTTGTATTATTTTAGAGTTATTTATGGCTAGGATTTTTTATTTAATAGTTTCCTTATTATAGTTTAGGTAATAATCATTTTCCTTGTGAAAAATGAGTCTTTTTAGCATTTATAAATAGGTTGCTAATTTGGCTTATTTTAATGGACGAATTTTGATGATTAAATTGAGATTATTCTCTTTGGTTCTTTAAGAAATTTTCGAACATATCGGTGGATTCTGTTTGTTCACCCCGACTTATGAATCGATCTTTCACAATCGACTGTGGCGTCTTCACATACCAAGGTTCTTGCATCCTTATAGGCAATGGGTCGCGGTTCCACCATTGAATCCTTCTTTGGACGGTCCAGGATTTGATATCCGAAGTATTGATATCGGATCTCGTCACATAGTTAGCGTGGTTCGTATCGTCTTGTTTATTCGTTTTTGTTTCTTTTTTGTTTGTTAAGGGACATTTCAACCGCATTGTTCATAATTTGGCTGCTATTTATGTTTCGGACTTTTTGGAGGATTCTACTCTCCCCTCTTTGCTGGCCGAGTGTGCCTAATATATCTCTATTTTGATCTTCAAAATAAAAATAAAAATAGAATTCATGATACCATGTACGTGACACTATCAAAAGATGTCACTAAATACATAAATTAAATGAAAATATTTTTATGTTGTCACTAAAATCCATTTTATTGTCATCTAATATGTTTTTTAGGTAGTCAATTGCAAAGAATTTATATATAGATAGTTTAAATGACTATATTTTGGGATATAACTTTCAAGCGCCTATGAAATTCTAATAAACATATATAACAAATATTTATTTATTTTATGTTTCTTTTTTGCTCAAAAAATTTACAAAACAAATATCGTGCTGCATATATTTTTTTTTGAGTAAATTCAAGTCCATTACAAGGGGAAGTAGGGGAGGGGGGGACTCGAACCCTAGACCATTACCCTATTGGTAAAGGCTAGGTACCAACTCTCCTAATGAGGATTGGTATCGTGCTGCATATTTACGTGGTCAAAAATATAAATGTTTATATCATTGTTAGAGTGATCAATGCGCAGCAAAAGTAAGAAGAAAAATCAAATTCAAGAAAAACTAAAATAATAAATATTTTATTACAGGCCTGCAAATAATTGAATGAAGTACGTCGTCTCCACATGCAACTGCAGATAAGGGAACAGCCCGGGCATGGGCTAGTCAATTCATTTTAATTCCTATTTATTAATTAATACACTACCAACAATACTGTTGATTTTACAATAATATATCTAAAGCTTATTTCTCTTAAACCTTTTTTTTTTCTTCTCACACTTGAGGAATTTGAGCGTTCCTTTTTATTTATTTATTTGCCGAGCTTAAATAATTAATAATATATATATATTATATTGTTAAAATATTTCAACAAGAAACCAAAAAAAAATCAAATGTTAAACTGCTTCAAAAGAACAAGGATAAATTACGGCCACCAACTAAGGTCTGATCAAATTACGAAAAAAATCCCTTGTGTGTGGGTAATTACATCGCCCATCAACTATGAATCTTCTTACACGTTCACCCTTTTGGCGTCAAATTCAACAAAATCTTTACATTCTGTGGAATGTTCTCTAGTTTGTACTCGTTTTGTACAAAAGTGCAATTTTTATGTTCCATGATCTTATATTTACAAGCCAAGAGATACATCTAACGATCATCTTGTTTCAAAATGTGGAGCTCAAATAGGATAATATAATGGCTACAAACCGGAAAACATTCTATTAAATTTGGCAACACAAAGGTGCACGTGTAAAAATATTCATAGTTGAGGGGAATAATTGTAACTACCCAAACATAAGGGATCTTTTAGTAATTTAACCTTACCCAAGGGGTTTGGGCGTAATTTACCCAAAAAACAAAGAACAAATCTCTGTACAAAATATACTATGTTTTTAAGTAACGGTTGGGGGACCATGTGGCCTTTTTCTTAACTCTATTTACACACTGCAGACTGCTTGCATGCATCACTCAATTTCCAGTACTAGGACCTATATTGTATGACAGTAAGACCTAGTCTCTCATTCATGATTTATCAATGAAACACACACACACACACACACACATATATATATATATATATATATATATATATATATATATATATATATATAGATTGAATAAATTACTGCCATCTCTGAGTAAGATCTCTGAGAAAAAAAACCATTATGTTTGGCTAATTATATACAACTATTCATCAACTATGAAATCTTCTTACGCATCAACCACTGCGGTGTCAAATTTAGTGGAATCTTCTAGATTATATGGAATATTATCAAGTTTGTACCCGTTTTATCATATTCGAGCTCCACGTTTTGATGTGAGATGATTAGAAGATGTGTCTACTGACTTGTAAATATAATAATTGTGGTGCATCGGAAACTACATTTTTGCACAAAACAAGTACAAACTAGAGAACATTTTACGGAATCTAGAAGATAATTGAATTTGACACTATAAGGGTAGAAATGTAAAAAGAGTCATAATTGAGGCGTGGTTACAATTACCCAAACATGATAGGAGTTTCGTAATTTATCCTTACCTCATGGGGTTGTTTGTAGTTTATATACCCTATATATATATATATATATATATATATATATATATATATATATATATATATATATATATATATATATATATATATATACTCATTTTTTGATCATATTCAAATCATTCAAACGAAATACAATCAACAATACAACTCAAATATATATAGTAAAAACGTCTCACTTCTTATACAAAAAGGAGGTATAAATAAATATATCTAGACTCACAGTACGTACGTACTGGTAAATAAAAATAAAAAAGAAAGAACACAAACACAATTATTCAGGTGAAACAGTGCACACACGCGCTGTTTCCAGACACACGAAACCCTAATAACACTGTTTCCAAACATAAAAGTACTCAACAAACACAAACAAATCAATTAATTATTATCTAAGGATAAATAACTAATTAATCCACAACAGAATTTTGAAGCTTCTTGCTGACCAGATAATGAAACGGAGGGCTGCAGAAAGTCCCGTTAAGAAACGAATCCGTGAGCACTTTGTACACGGCTTCCGTCAAGTGAGCTCCATCCCAGTTAATGTACTCATAAGGGTTACTGCACGAACTGGAGGAAGGCGAACCGCAGGTGTTGAACACATCAAAGTTGTAGGCCCCACCGCCGTAGCCGCAGCACGCCTTGTACAGCTCCTTGAAACCGTGTTTCTTGAAATTCTTCATCAGCGAGAGGTGGGCGTTGTAGTAGTCCGCGTAAACTATGACGGCTTGTGGGTTTTGGTTCTTGATTACGTTGAGCTTGGCTTGTAGGGCGGAGTTGTGGGCCGACGACAGCTTGTTCATGGAGGCTACGCAGCCCATTTCGTCTCTGTCTTCGGGGGAGGAAAGTGAGAAGGAATACGTGGTGCAGCCCGTTTGCGGTAGTCCTTGTACGACTATATACTTTGCTCCCTTGTTCATCAGTGCCTGTAATGCAATGCAAATTTTGATTAGATAAAATTAGAGCGCGTAACGAAAAAGAGAAGAAGAGAGAAGAAATCGGGGTTAAGAAAAAGAGAGAAGAGTTGTTGTAGGTTCAAGCTTGAAATTTTATTAGGTTAAGAGGATGGTGATGTAGAATTTTTTTTTTATAATAGCCCAAGATATATTTTCATAGTTAAAAAAAAAGAATTATTTAATCATGGTTAATTATGAGGGACACTTTTTTTTTAGTAAAATTTATGTTTATATAGATTTTTTACACAAGAAATTAGATGTTACATCTGGTTATTTACATTGGGTGGATTGAACCGTTGATCTACATATAATCACGCGCACACCCATGTGTATCTATGTTTAATGTGAAGTTATTTAATCAAATTTACGGTTTAAATCCACCTGATGTAAATAATCAGGTGTAGCATCTAACTCCCCGATTTAGTGGGTGGAAATCTTGAATATCCGACAATTGAATTTTTAAGGTGATTGAAATTTTGAAATTTACACCCAAATCACATTAAATTAATTTTTTTTTTCTTGGGAAATGCATTGATGTATATAACTAGGGTTGGGGGAATGAATGCAGTTTTGGGCTATATATGTATACAATTAAAAAAATAAGTGTCGGTCATTTTCACCTGTAGGAAGCCAGTGACACTATTTATGGCAAGTGTTTGAATGATTTTGCCCGAAAGAGAAGATCCGAGGCTGCATGTGTAATCATTGGCCCCGATTTCACCGAGCCAAATCAACGCATCGCCAAAAACACCTCGACACTCCCTCGGAGTAGTTTTCAAGTCTTTGCACCCGTAATCGCTCTCCAAGATCTTGTCGAACCAAACGAGCTGCGTCTGGAGCGACTGAGGGACGAGGTTGAACGTGATGTTGTTCTTCATGAAGAACCCGTGCCGGATTGCGGTGGCCCCACCGACCGCGAAGTTGACGCCGTGGGACCGGTCGGCGCTAGGGTTCCGGTAGGGCGGCAGCAAGGGGAGCGAGAGTGCCTCCGCGACAAAGTCGACGACTATGCGGCCGTCGGAGTAGCGGTTGGTCGGGCGGTGGAAGAACGTGACGCCGTACGGAGGGTTCGAGACGTGGTTGAAGGCGGTGGGGCCCGTCGAGGTTTTCGTGTTCCCGGTGTCGGTGTACGAGTCGCCGAAGGCGTAGATTTTCTTGAATGGGGAAGGAGCGGAAGAGCATGATGGAGGAGTGGTGGAGAGGAGGATTGTGAAGATAAGTGTGGTTATAGTTATGACTAGGGTGGAAAAAGCCATTGTTTTTTTTTTTTCTTTTGATTTTCTTTATTAGGGAGATGAGAAAGAAGGTTGTGTGATTTGATTTAGGGTTATGTTTGGTGTTTTTATAATAGATAAGTAGTAGAGTTATGTGTCTCATTAAATAAAGCAATTGCAACTTGTCAGGATTATGTTTTGAGGGAGTAGGTGTGGGTAATGGTGTCAATATATCTTTGTATTTATTTCTATTATGTTGCTTCAATTACCAAGTTGGGAATTGCATGCCATATACATCTAGTAATTAAAATGAAAACCATATTAATACTTTTTATAGGGTTCTTAATCTTGATTAGGATGGTTTATTTTGAAGTTAGAAATAGTAATTACACAAATTGAAATACATTAGTATATATATATATATATATATATATATATATATATATATATATATATATATTTAC